ACGGGAGCGCCGCCGCGCTTCCCAAGCGGCGCACTATCCAGTGCGCCACCAGGCCGGCCTCCAATAGTTTTAATAATGAGAAAAGTCTTTTATTAAGCTCTAATCTCCATTGGCTGTGGTCATTCAATCCATTATACATCCCCTCACATGACCACGCAGCACCCATTCCTCCATCCTGTTTGCAACATTTTTGTGAAAGAGTTTGTGAAACGACTTGCTGAAAGAAAAAGCTGTTCAGCCAGTAGCATCCTTTTTCAGTTATGAGGCTATGTACTTGAAATAAGATGAATCTGTTTTGACTCTTGAATTCATGAGTTGAACCCATGTTCAATGAAAGTACAAAAGAAGAAATACTGTGCAGATTTCACTTGACATCCAAGTAATAAAAAATGGATTCTAAAGTGTAACTGGAAAGCACTGAAGTGCAAAACTACCTTATATGGATGTTATTGTCACCCATACAAGTAACCAGACATGTCTGCATGCAAAGTTTGAAGCTGGGGCTATCTAGGAGATTAGCAACATGAACAGGAAGGATTGAGGCCTGAAAAAGGTACCTACTTTTCCTCCTTAGGCTGCACGTGGTAATATAGAAACACAAGTTCCATTGAATACCATGAAGCAGTTTCCCCAAAATGTATGTATTTTGATGAAATGCCATGAAGACTCTGGTGTCCTGAAGCTGTTTATGATTCTTGCCACATTTCTTTTTAAGGTGGGTTTCGGCTAGCAGCAGCCAGAAGGGGCTTGGGGCCCCACAGGAAAGGGCTCTAATGATTCTGATCTGGTGATAAGGAGACAACCAGGCTAAGTTGGCTTATGAGGATGGCTTGCCCAGGAGAAGCAGTTGGTCTTGCTTACAAAATCGAGTCAATGAGCCCGTTGACTGATGTAGAATTGACTTTATACCCTGACGTGTTCTACAAAGGACTTAAGGCCCATTTCTTAGGTATTCCAAGAATGGGGAATTTTAAAAACAAGTAAATCAAGACAGAAAGAAAAAATTTTATGTGTGTTCCCTAATTCCGAGCAAAAGACACCTTCCATCCTTTCTTTTCCAAAACTCACAAAATGGAACTGAAAAGACTATTGCAGAAAATCATCACTGCTTAGCTGTTGTGACTGCAGAGAATATTGCATATTCTAAAATCTCAAATATTTTAACATTTTAGGCTTAGTTGTTTGGTGTTTCTGTTGGCAGAATATGATGGGGACGGAGTAAAGACTAGGAACTGGTTTGGGAAAAGCTGCCTGGAGAGAGAGCAGGGCATTGGGAGTGGGGAGACTTTGCATCTGGACCTGCTTCTGTCCCTGATCAGTTACAGGGCTTCTGGCAAGTGGTGTTCCCTCTCTGTGCCACAGTGTCCTCTTCTGTTAAACAAACAAAAACACAGGGGCTTAGAGCCTGTCATGACAGCTCATTGGTTTAGTGCTTTTCTGTTTGGAGGGCTCTTCCCTCCATCTCCACCTCCATAATTTCATTTGCTCTTCACGGCAGCTGGGTGGGGTACATAGGGTGTGTTAGTCACCTCCACTTCATATGATGGTGGCCCAAAGATGCACGCAGCTCCAGGTGGCCATGGCTGTCGCAACCCCAGATCTTCTGACTTCACCTCTTGGTTGGTTTGTTTCTATTAGATGGTTCTAACATTTTTAGCTAATGATGTAGAGAGCTCTGGAAGTACCTTTTCTTTCTTTTCATTTTTAGTTTAAAATATTATTAAAGGACACTTAGCCACCTCTGGGGTCATCAACCATCAACACTACAGAACCAGGGAAAAGGGAATCATTAAGCAGGATGATGTTTCTCTTCTGAGCATGTGAAATTTCCAGCTCTCTCGTCAGTTGTTCTGTCACCTCCTGTCCTGTGGACCGCACCATTTTGTGCCCTGCCCCTTTGCTTTCCTGCCTGCGATTTCACACATTGGTGCTTACAGTTCTGGTCCCTGCAGGTGCTTGTAGTGACACCAGGCCTTGTGAGAGATGTCTCCGTCCTAGGTGTGATGGGATAGGTTTTTTTTCTGAAATAGTAAATCTGAAAAAAAAAAAAATCTTTGCTATTTGACATAGAGTGAATGATAATGTCAGGAATCCTTTTAAATCCAGGAAGATAAATATGTTTCATTGGAACCATCTTTCCAAACATAGCCAACCTCAAATATTTCGCCTGAGATGCCTCAGGATCCTAAAAAAAAGATTTGTGCTCAGATATGCAGTCCTTCTTTAGTTTTGGGTTCTTGGATGAGGCTTTTTCTGTTGTCATTGGCCATGGCAGGTAGCCACATAATCTTTGATTTTCTGAGTTGTGAGTTTCACAGTCCAAGCCTCCTAGGTGGTACCAGAAAACCTTTAAAAAATACATGAGTATCTTTCACATCTTCCTTTAACCATCACTTCATCAGAGACTGCTTCTCACCAACCCTGCCCTGCAAGTTGGCTGCAGCATTTGCATACTTGCAATTAAGCCATCATTTGAGTTGGTCTCAAGAGTTCTCCATGCTGGGGCGGGAGCTCTGTGTGGTCGGGGCAGTGCCCGGCTTACCCACTGCCGGCCACAGCAGGCACTTGGTCCTTACCCGATGCCTGACTGCCTGATATTTTGTTTTGCAGGAATGGACAATCTACAGATAAATGTCACCCTGACCCCAGAGTCATTTCCTCATGGGAAATTGTTACCAATTTCACCAACATGGCCTTTCTCAGAAGTCAAGTCTTCCTCGGCAGCGGACAGAAGCGAGCGTGTGCTGGCACGGTCCCCCGACGACACAGGCTCACGGCAGCCAGCCCGAACTCCTCTGCCCAAGACCCACCGCAGAGCTAGGGCTCCCATGGACTTCTCCTCGTCCCTTTACCAAGGAAGCGGACACAGCGCCTCCCTTGAACCTCCCAAGGAGTCCTCTGAGCCCCTGGTCCGAGCAAGGCCTCGCACCCACGTGTCAGGTTTGCCTCTCTCCAGCATGCTACCCCTGGTGTCCACAGTCCCGGTGGCGCCAGCCTCACCCTCTGTCCTCCCATCTCAGCCAGGGTGGGTGGGGACTCCCTCCATCTCCAGACAGCCCCCGAGGTCAGGCCACCTCCTGCATCTCCCGCCACCTCCCTCCTCCTCATTGGCTCCTGAAGGTCCTCATTCCATCCTCTTTCCCAAGCCAGCAGAGCGACCCGCCAACATGCCTTCAGTCCCCCAAACAGCTCCAGCCGACTCCTCCTCAAATCAGAGCCCAGCTAATCCTCTAAACCCATTTTCTGACAAAACGATCCACACTCCATCCCCAAATGCCCAGGATTTCATAGGCATCCCTCATCTAGGGTTTTCTGAATCCTCAACAAAGCAGTATCCTGAGCTGGCCCCCACACAGGGTCCCCCCTCAGCAGGCTCCCCTGCTCCTGGGTTTTTGAGCTCCACGGCAGAATTGGCCCATCTGTCTCCCCGTCCCCTAGCACCTGGAAGTCATCTTGGGCTTCCAGGTGGAACTGCCTCATGGTCCATGTTGGAAGTGGCTTCAAATCCTGCATCCGCCCAGCCAGTAAAAGCCGAGGTGGCCAGAAGAGTCCACAGTGGGGTGTCTTTGCCAACTTTTAAGAGCACTGCAGCAGCGACCCATGTGGCTGAGCCTTCACCTTTCCAGACTTCAGAAGCAGTGGCTGCAGAAGCAGTGGCTGTAGAAGTGACCCGCAGAAAGCTAGCTCCTGCCACTGCAAATGACTCCGCTAAGCTGCCGCATTTGTCAGCAGCTCCAGAGGATTCCGGAGGGCCCTCCCTCTCAGCTGAGCATACGTCTTCCTCTTTGGTGCCTTTTCCTCTGCCGTTTTCCACACCCGGTCAAGTGAAAGGCATCCTTTCTGGGGCAGTTCCCATATCACCCTCCAAGGGGACAGCTGACTTTCCCTCCATGCTCACATTCCTCCAGCCTGCAGAGAATCATGCCTCTCCGTCCCTTGTACCAGAGATGTCCACTCCTCGAGAGGAGGGCGATGATGGGTCCCCTCCTTCTGTAGCTACAGATTTCCTCCACTCACGCAAACTTCCTAATCGTCTTTCTATAGCTTGGACATTTCCCCTGTGGAAAGAGGAGAGCATGACAGCAGTTTTACGGAAAAATGAAAAGGCAAATGTGATGATTCCTCTCCAGGCCCTGCCAAGTGAAGAGCAGATTTCCTCCACTCACGCAAACTTCCTAATCGTCTTTCTATAGCTTGGACATTTCCCCTGCGGAAAGAGGATAGCATGACAGCAGTTTTATGGAAAAATGAAAAGGCAAATGTGACCGTTCCTCTCCAGGCCCTGCCAAGTGAAGACGTTTCAAGTCTTCACACTGTAAATGGAATGACCTCTGTTTTGAGCACGGATCATATTTCATCTCCCATCGTTACAACACCAAGAACAAAGCTCCTTTCTTCAGGATCACCTCCACCTTACACAGCCTCCATACAGACCACCCGGATTGTTTCCCCATCTCCTGGCTTTTCCAACACCCATCCAGAGACTTCTGCAGCTGCTGTGGGCCATTCGGAGTTGCCAGCTTCAGCTTCCAAACAGGTGACAGCATCTCCCTCCCCCACGGATGTCTATGATTTCTCAGTCAGAGACATGAAACAGCCAGCAACCACAGATGTTTCCTGGAGTTCTCTTTCAGCAGAAACTGGATCCCTTTCCACAGAAGCAACAATATCTGGCTTGCAGCAGCAAACAAATTATAATTTAAATGGACACGCAGTTAACTTCACAAGTTGGGAAACTCGTTCAGCTTCAACTACTCCTCCTAGTGGTTTAACTTCAGCTGCCAATGCAGTAACATCTCAGGATTTCAAAGATACTGGGCGTTCAGTGACCACAGAAGGCTTTAGGATTCAGGATTTTGTCCCTGGTGTAAGCACTGACAAGCCTGGACAACAGTCAGACGTGACCATGGCTGGAAACCATATAGACCTCTGGTCCACAAGTAACAACAACAATTTCAGAGACTTCCAAAGAGCTGAGGTTGAATATTACCCGTCCACAAGTCAACATTCTGTGTCTCAACCCCTTCTGCAGCTGCAGTCCCAGTCAACACGTCCTTTTTTGCTAACCTCACCAAGTGTAACTGCTATGGCTAACTTGCAGGAAATGCTTTCAGATGGAACAGATATAGGTTTTCAAATTTACAGGGACATCTATCCATCACCTGTGACAAATGCTTCCACACCATTCCAGAGTATCCTGAGATATGATTCTACTGCTGAATCTCCTCCTAAATCGACCAGTGCCTTTTCCAGGACCCCCTCCAAAGTGCTGCAGCTTTCTCAGCGCCCCAAGAAATGGACAGGTGCAACCACTAATGCAGGTAGCTTGTTTCCCAAAAACGGGTATGACTGCTTCTGTGACCAAAGCATCTTCGAGCTCAACACAGATCCCACAGCTTTGCTCTGAAGGAGCACAGACCCCCTTTGAGGAATGAGTTAGCAGCCCCAAATAGTCATGTTGTTGATTCTTTGCCCACTTGGTTTTTTGAAATGTTCAGAATTTGTGTCCTTATTATCAACCATAGCTTTGCCATAGTGGTATTCTCATTAAGTTTAATTGACTTAATGAGCCTAAAATTGTTTTGCCTAAGTTCTCCCCACTGCAAGCCCAGCGTACAGAGACTTTTTATCCGAGAAAACCCATAAGTTACATCCATTCATTATCAGAACAGGTAACATGTGCATACCGAGCCAGTGACAAATTTTGTTTTTTCTTTCTTTACAGTGGACTCTTCAGTGACACCCAAGGTAGAACCAACAGTAGCAGCAGCAGCAGCAGAGGCAGCCACCACATTGTTTTTAAGGAAATCAAGTCCACCGGTGTTGTCTGCAGCCCTGGTTGGTAAGGGCACTGGCAGCAGCCCTTCGGTGGTGGCATCAGGATTAGCCAAGAGCAGTTTGACCACAGATCTTGCTAAAAATGTCACAAACAAGTTGGCATCTGGCCCACAGGCAACACCAGCAGCAGTCCATACAGCCTTCCCCTTCACGCCAACCTACATGTTTGCAAGAACGGCACACACCATGAGCATGCATACAGCCATGCCAGGGAACACGGGCCCTGCCTCTGGCCTGTTGTCCACAACACACCTCCCCAGGAAACCACAAGCCATGCTCACTGGCCTCCCAAACCCCACCAACCCAGAGATGCCCAGAGTGTCCACCCCACGTCCGCTGACAATCACAGCAGCGTTGACGTCCATCACGGCATCAGTAAAGGCGACCCGCTTGCCGCCTTGGCCTGCAGAAAACACAGATGTTGCTCTTTCTGCTGCATCGGCTGCAGTGGTCACAACTGGGAAAATGGCCTCCAACCTAGAGTGTCAGATGTCCAGTAGGCTCCTGGTGAAGACAGGTAAGAGTCCAGTGTCCTTACTTTCAAGTGATTTTACTTGAAAGCAGCAAACCTGGCCTCTGAGACGTAACAGAATTATTTTTCTTTTAGAACAGTGGTTCTCAACCAGGGGTGATTTTGCCACCTTCCCCCCATCACCCTCCCTTCCCTGGGGACATTTGGCCATGTCTGGAGACATTTTAGTTGTCACGCCTTGGGGATGGGGTGCTACTGGAATCTGGTGGGATGGAGACCAGGGATACTGCTAACATCCTACAATGCATGGGACAGTCCCTGGCAACCCCCCAAACATCAATAGGGCTGGAGTTGAGAGACCTTAATCTTTATCAAGTGTCAGCGAACAGGGGGAGCATTAATGGATACTAGGATCTGTCCTGATATCAGAAGCCCCTGGGAAACCCCAGTTCTGTGAATGCAAATGTGCCCCCAGTTGCCATAGAGCGAATCAAATCAATGTTTCACATGAATGAATGTTGTGATTCGTAATATACAAAATCTTGGGAAGAGCAACAGAACTCAGAAAGGCTTTTTGTCATGCATTTTCTCAATCAACAGATACTTAAAGTATAGCTACAGTACACTGTGTGGGAAGCCAGGATTTCCTTTGATGTTAGAAAGGAGACTTTCTGGAAAATTTGGGCAGGCAGCACTAGAACCACAGGCAAAGCTGAGATGCCATCTTTTTAGCCCCCACTCCCCAGTTGCAGCAGAGCAGGCCTAGAATGCACAGGGTGTTTTTAATAGTGTGGTAATGTTTGCTATAAAAAATCATTAGACATTATTTGAAAGAGCTCACTGATGTTGAATGCTCGCATCCCGCCTCCCTCCTTGCCCCATAAAGAATGAAATGAAATTGTATCTTGAGATATATCCTATTTTAAAATGGGAAATTGTGAAACTAGGCACAGCAGAAACTACAGTATTTCTTTCTATTTCTGAAGCAATTATGCCATCTGGATTTCCTCTCCTCATCCCCTCTCCCTCCAGAGGTGCTGGGCAGCCCCAGCCCCCCAGAGGCAGAAATCTGGAACATTCTCCCCTCTCTCTTCTTCCCTGCCCCTCCCCCACTGCAGCCACATCTAATCAGCCACCAGTTCCTTTCTGTTCTGCCTCCTGAGTACACCTTATTTCCACCCTAGCTCGCTCTGCTACTTCCATTCCCACTGTCATCATCGCTTACCTAAATTTCTGCAACTACAGACAAATTTATCTTTCTGCCTTCAGACGTCCCCCATCTCCAATCTGCTCTACAGTCTGCAGTCAGGGGAACCTTCTAAAATGCAATCCTTTGCTTCAAACTCTTCAATTACCATTGCCCCCAAGACCAAGCCTAAACACGTATACTCAGTGGGACTTGTGCTGACCAGCTTTGCTCAGAACTTGCAGAAGGTGGTGGCTGGGAGGAGAGAAGGGCTTGTTAATTATGAGGTTTGCTGCCTTACCCTGATTACCATGCTTCTGTTTTGCCCCACAGTTCTCTTTCTAAGCCAAAGGAGGGTGCAGATCAGTGAATCCTTGAAGCTCAATGTAGCCAAAGGGCTCACGCAGGCATTGCGCAAGGCTTTCCACCAGAGTGATGTCTCGGCACACGTAAGCCCCTTGCTTTCTAATCAGGCTAATGTATCTATGTCTCCTTCTTGGGTCCAGAATATGCTTAGATTATTTTCCTCCTTTCTAGATTCAATAATCACACTTGCCAGTAGAATGTTTCTTCATTTTGGCAAATAGCTAATACATGGTGGCTAGAGAAAAAGGTCAAATTTTGAGGTGGAAAATTGAGACTAATTGCCTTATGTCTAGATTTTTTTTTTTTAAAGCTTGGGTGTACTGTTTTTAACCATTCCATTATCCCGTCGTTTGGGGAACATATTAATAACATTTGTGTAATTCCCTAGAAATGATCCATTGCTTTTCCCTTTATCTTCTGCACCATCATAAATAATGATTTATTTCTGGACACTTGAAAATTATTTCGACTTGTAAATCCAGTCCAACTTTGCTTAAATGGCCAGCAGACAGGAAGTAAACATTTTTTTTCCTCCGAACACTTTAATGCCAAGTACTGTTTAACAACTGCTGGCTTGTTTCAATGGCATATCCAAGTGATGGAAGCTTTGCTTTATAATCTTGGTTTGAGTCCAGGTTTTAAAGCAGTAAATGCGATTGGCAGTCAGCGGACTCCCTTTTGCACCACTTAAAAAAAATATTGCTCTGGCTTCTTCCTTTGATGTTCTGTTCTGCAGCTGCATCCAGCTTAGTGATCCCCTTCCCATCCATCACACCAAGGACTGACTACAAATGAGATTTGGCACCTAGTTTATTGGTCATTGTCAATCTCTTTTGTACAATTCCAGAAAAAAAAAAAAAGAAAGAAAGAAAGAAGAAAAATGCATTCCATGAGAGGCTTCTGTGGTCTCTGCACCAGAAGCTTTATTTGAAAGTTGAAAATGTGTATGTTCCCATTTAGTTGCCTGAAACAGTTTTTCTAGACTTCAGTCATTTTCACGCTACCTTCATAGTTTTGGTCTTTTCTGCATATCATCACAGACCACTGTGACAATTAGTATTAGTTTTTTTTTTAAAAAAAATGGCTCACTTCTTAAAACTTACATACATTTCTTTTGAAAGGACATTTGCTATTACCACCATAAGTGAAAATCAGGATCATTTGCCACAAATAAAATGGAATGGTGAAAATGAGAATAATAGAAACAAAACAGCTTGTTAAATTCAAGCCAGACATTGCTGAAGGCTCTGAGGCTGAGCCTGGTGTCCCTTTGTTTGTTTAACAAAAGAATTAGCAAGGGTTAGAGAAAATAATCCCTAAAAGAAAATAATCCCTGAACTGAGACTTGCTCCTTGAAGTAATTAGAACTATTAGAAAGTGAGCAACTTTCTCATGGGGTGCTTTACTGTTGTTTCATCCTGTGTCCATGTTTCGTCCCAAAGTATCTCTTGTTACACCTAAAATCATCTTGAACCCCATCTTTAGGAAACAGACTAATGGAGGAGACACCCAATGTGGAAGAGCAAAAGGCTTACCCATCTAGTTGCAAAATCAGTTAGTTTGGAAAATACACAGGACACTACCAATGGAGTGGCAAGAATAAGGGGGAACACAGGTGTTAAAAACACCCTGAGTATGGAGTTTCAGTTTTATAAGATGATAAGAGTTCTGGAGGTGGCTGGTGGTGATGGTTGTACACCATTATGAATGTATTCAATACCCCTGAGCAACACTTAAAAATGGTTAAGATGATAGATTGTATGTTGTGTATGTTTTCCCACAATAAAAAAAAATTGGAAAAAAGGGAGGTTATGAAGGAATATCTACAGTGCATGCATATATGTACGTATATTCTCATATATGTATATATGTACCTGTATGCATGTATATATACCTACAAGGGTATTTCAAAAAGTTTTTGGAAAAGTAAAATTAAGAGCTAATGCCAATCTTTCCATGAACTTTTTGAAGTATGTTCCTGTATAATACGTGTGTGTTTATATATGAAATACGTATTTCCAGGAAAAAAGACTGAAAGGAAATATACCTAAAAGTGACTGTGTGACTGGATTATGGTAGTGGTGGTGGCATTAGAGATAGTTGTTACTCTTTTCTCTGTTTTCCAAACATACTAATTCTATAATAAACATTATATTTAATATACTTAAAAAAAACCCAAAACCAACAAAAAAACACCTTGAGCTGTTATGCAACACCAAGAAAACAAAATGAAACAAAAAGAATAAGATCTAAAGCCTTAAAATCTTCGGGTCGGGACAGAAAGAGCTGAGATCGTCAGTGTCCCTCAGGACTCAGTTGTAAGAGAAGCTCTCTATGGCTCATCCTGCCTTGGTCTTGAACCAGTTTACAAGCCAAGGATGGAGTCAATGGTTCTTCTTACTGTATCTAGAGAGAGGAATTTATTTACTTCTTGACCATTGCGCTGAAGGCACCCCACTTAATCTATCATTTCTGCCTTTTAATTTCTATAAATGATAGAAATATAATAAAGCAGTTTTCCCAGCATTGCATTTGCTGGAAATCTCTTTTGCCAGCTGTCTCCTCTCTGCCATTTTAGTTATAAGTGGTGCTCACAGGATTATGCTGAGGCACTTAAAGAATAAAAAAACACGGATTTAATTCTGTTCCACGTAGGTTTGATATAAATTGTATTTTGTTGTATTGTGATATTTTGAGACTTGCCAATCCACGTATACTTTATAGGATTGTTAGAATGTTTGTTGAAGGAGAACAATCCTGTTCCCCAGCCTCGCTGAATAACAGGTGTGGTTTTAAGAGACACCAAGAAAAACTTACTCTGGAAATAAACAATGAGTTCTGTGGGACTGTTTGTTTTGTAGGTGGACATTCTGGAATATTCTCATAATATCACAGTTGGCTATTATGCTACCAAAGGGAAGTTGGTGTACTTGCCTGCTGTAGTGATAGAAATGCTGGGTGTTTATGGAGTCAGCAACGTCACTGCAGATCTGAAGCAACATACCCTGAATTTACAGTCTGTGGCAATACTTGCCTCCCTGTGGAATCCCCAGCCCGCAGGCTACTTCCAGCTGAAAACAGGCAAGTAACTCAAAGGAAAAGATTCCTACACATTCTGGGACTAGAGGTGGTACCAAGCAGACACCTGTTTAAAAACTCCATTGCAGCTGCTGTGTCATCTTTTAAAGTCTCTATGTACCATCTTCAAAGGGCCCTGCTAATCAAATGTCCAAGTTCTCTGCACATCAGTCTAAACTTTTCCAACTCTGGATTTATTAGAAATGTTCTATCACAGGAGCCTTCCCTCCCGATTTATATAATTAGTACTTATGAGCATCGAATACTATATTTTTTATTTTTTCCTCTATTACCAGTGGATACTAATAAGACTTGAACATTCATAAAATCCATGGTTTGGAGCAACAGGTACCAGATGCCACTGAATCAGAATCCCTGAGCTCAGGCCTTGGAATCTTTCTTTTTTTCAAGCTCCCTGGTTATTTTCGATCTGCAAAATTTGTAAACCACAAGAGTAGAGAAACCATTGCAATTGAAACAATAAACTTAGTAAAAGAGGTCAATTGATTTTTTTTCTCTCCGAAGAAATAAAAGACATGATCTCTCAAGTTATTATTTGTCAGTCTTTGAGCAGATGTCTACATATTCCAAAAAAATAAGATCACAAAATTCTTTGCATTGGTGGGAATCTTGGGTTCAATCATGTGTCTAATTCTTCTATGTTATAAATCATTCTAAGAGCCACTTTCAAAACTACAATCAAACCTTGTCCAGCCTTATTGTTTATTTACCTAATTTCTCTAATCTAAAATCATGTTGTTTTATATCATGACCACTATTAAATCCAAGGAATTAAGACACAGAGCTTTGGTGAGCCCTGATTTATTACTCTCATTCTAGTGCTGCAGTTTGTGAGCCAAGCAGACAACATACAGTCCTGCAAGTTTGCTCAGACAATGGAGCAGAGGCTGCAGAAGGCATTCCAGGATGCTGAGAGGAAAGTCCTGAACACCAAAAGCAACTTGATGATTCAGGTAGGGAGGAGGGTGCTTCAAGTTATAGAGCTGACAGACAACCATAATGCAAATGTTGGCAAGAAATGATTTGGGTCTCCCATTTCAAAGCTGCCTTGTATAAGTGAAACTTTGTGCCTTAGGCATGTGATGTGGTCAATCACAGCATTGGAGAGTGTATCTAAATAGCTAGCTCACTGAGATTTGCCTGTTTTGTGATTTGCATTGGGTTGTATTCCAGGCATCCACATAAGTAATTACTAGTTTACACAAATATACACACACACGTTTTATATTGATGGCTTACTATGTGCCAGGAGCTATGCTAAGTGTTTTACAAATATTTTGATATGTGCTATTCAAGACATCTTTCTGAAGTGTTCTTACCTCCCATTTCACAGAAGAGAGAACTGAGAAAAAGGTTAAGAAACTTCTAGAAGGTCACACAGTTGGTAAAGAATGGAACAAGGACTTGAGCCAAAGGCCCATACTCTTATCCACTATGCTACACTAGTATTAATGCATTATAGAAATGGGGTCCTTGATGAAATTTTTCACAAACACATGAATTCTTTCCCAGGGAAATGCCATTCCCGGTGCACAACATTTTGGCTTCCTGGATTAACAGTGTGACACCACCAGAAGTTTTTCTCAGACCCATTTTTTGCAGTTATGTAGACATCATCCCATTAAGGACAGATGCTTTTAAATGATATTCATCCATCCCCCAAATTTCTCTAATTAAGTCTACTATTCAATGTCTCTGTTTTGACTACTGAACTAAAG